GGTTATATTGTATCTTCTTTCGTACCAGTGCCATAAGAAGAAAAAGAAAAAGGAAAAAACATATAGCATCACACACTCGTCGCATCATTATTCTATTTGTTCTGTTTTAAACACACTGACGAAGAAAGCTGACGCTTTCGAAACGTTTGTAAAATAAAAATAAAAATTGTAAATGTAAATAAATACTAATAACTCAATAAATAATAAAATAAAATATAATTTTAAAATTATTGTGGAAGAGTAGCAAAAACGAAACAAAATTATAATGACCTTCCAATTAACCACAAAACAATAATATTTGTGTGATATGCTATAGATAGTAGCAGCCAGAGTAGAAACTGGTTTCAAATCTAGGAGTATAATAATATTTACGTCAGCTACAAGGTACTTTCTCAAGGAATATGGGAGTCTTTTCGAAAACAAAATAGGAGTTATAGGACGACTGCGAATGGCTGCAAAACGAAAAAAACATGTAAATGTAATTACATGTTAGGAATGTACAGTGCCAGCGTAAATACTGAAAAATCGAGATCAATGTCACCGGTACAGTGACCACTGTAGCATTGACTGCACTGTCAGCGGTGTCACTGGCACGTTGGTTTCATTGATGCCGACATTCGATATATTGCATCATTTCGTATTTTACTCGAATACATAAATAAAAATCATGAAAGAAGAAAATAAAGAAGATAGTAGGAAAAACATAATGTTTGTTATATGGTAATAGTGAAAAGATAATTGTTTAATCCATTAGAAATGTTACTTTCAATATAATCAACTCTAAAAAAATTGAGAGATTAGTCAAATCATGTGATCTTATCCAATGCAGACTTCTTTCGAACCCGTATTTTTCTTCCAGTTGATGTCAGTGTAGTCAGTGCTACAGTGGTGCACTGAGTCGGTATCGTCAGTGATCACGTAAACTAACACTGCACATCCATATATAAAAGCATCAAGATTTAGATGATAATTTTTCATCAGAATTGTGCATCGAATATAAATGGGACTGATCGTGTTATTACAATTATCAATATTGGATTCACGAAACAAAATTAATTGTTGATGTTTTTCTACTTAAATAAAACATTCCTTTGTAAAATTTATACGTTCAACTATATACGAACACATACATCTTTTGTTATGAATAGGATAAAAAGTTGATCAAACCGTTATTTAAACGTCAACAATTAAAGCAACGATTTTACAAGAACGTATGCATCGATGCTTTTCCTTTGTTGTAGATTTTAAACTTTTAGCGACAATAATATATTTATATTCGAAACAAGAGAGAAGAAATATATTCAATAATCCAACGTTTGATTTACCTGATATAAATTATAAATTAATAATAACGACGGATGAAAGTGTAGATATTCTTATCTTCCAAACTCAGATGCACACCCCACCGACCTAATTGTAATAGGACCCATATTTTTTTATTCGACATAAGATGATAATTTTACAGGAAGCAATCATTCTAGATTTGTTATAGTCTTCGATTCTAAGAAGAATAATTGATTCTCTATAATTCGATGTACCAAGTGCTTTCAGCAATCAAGTGCAGCGATTAGGTTTGACCGAATAGACTACGTAGACTAGCTCAACGTTCCTCACAGTTTGCTTGTTTGTGAACATTTAAACTGATCTCGGCTGATCACCTAATCTAGCTAAATTAAGTTTTTTTTAGCTGAAAGTTAATTCAAGTATCTTTAAATCATATTGAACCTTTATCGAAAGTGTCATTTGAGAATAAAAAAAATGTTAAACATGGGTGAAGTTAGCAGTCGACTCGGGTGTTTCCAGCAGCAATTCGCCCAGGAACCTGTTCCAATTGTTTCAAGTAGAACTCAACGAGCTCTATCCAATGGTATGCTCAGATTTTTGATAGCTGAAAGTAGGATTTTCAGATTCTCCCTAGCGTCACATATTGACCGCAAAATCCTACTTTCAGCTATCAAAAATTTGAGCACACCATTGGATAAAGCTCATCAAGTTCTACTTGGAACAGGGCTGGAACAATTGGAACAAGTTCCTGGGCAAATCGCTGCTGAAAACACTTGAATCGGCTGCTAACTTCACCTACGTAAATGTTAATTTGCTTCAAAATGATACAAGTTGTCCTTGTTCATTGCACATTTTCATATTTCTTCCGTCGAGTGATTTTGGCGATTGAATGGAGCTGAATTTCTTTTGAATCGCTTGTGGACAGCTATTCATAGTTTTGTGCTCGAAATTGAAAACTGCCTTGTTAGCTAAAAAGAATAAAGTAAAAACTCCAAATGGAAAATGCTTTTATTCTGTTTGATTTTTGAATATTTAGCATTATTCTTCTAACATATGTTGCGTATGATATAATTAGAAGATCAAACCTTTGGCAAACGGCTGAAGCATGTCACAGCTTTTGTATTCCCAACATTGTCTATTGAGTGCCCAATCAAAATATTCTACTAGGTCTTTAATTTGATCAAGGTCATTCTTCAATCCAACCGAAAGATTTCGTTGATGAGCTTCTTTTGCTAACCAAATGTTATATTTGAGCTGATCATTGTAGCTAAGTAGGAATCCGCTTCTATTATTATTCACCATATAGGCATCAACGTTGTCTAGTTCGACACCATCACATCCTTTCTTCGTCGCCAAATGCAAGCGAGCACTCATGGCGGGGGCCAACTTGTTTATCTGTCGAATGTCCAACCACCGTTCACGCATCCTGAATGATTAGGATAATGGTAGCAAGATTTAATGAAAACATTGGTACTGACCAGTTTTGTAGTTTATTCCCTTTTATGGAGTTAGGAAAAAGATTTTTGTCTAAGCGCCATTCTTCATAGGTTCCAGCACTGAAATTGAATTTAGATAAACGAAGTCATGGACAAATATGATTCGAAAAATTCTTCATCTAGATAAATAAAGGTAAGCGACTTAGCCTTCGTATTTATCAAGCATGAAGCATTAGAAAAGTAGTTGAATTCAATAAGAATGTATATCTGTTAGAGTGAATACGTTATAGACTAGACTAGTTCCATGTGAGAATTTAATTGTCTTAAAATTTTACCTGAAATGGCAGATGACTTTCTTGCCTACTTTCTTCAGTTGGCCGATAGTGCTCTCAGATGCGTCCCACAGACTGATGTCATACATCGTGACATTTTTTCCTGTGTTTATATTGCCATGTAATTGCAATGTCCAAGTCGTCAATGGAATCGGCTTCCAGTAGCCATTGATCACATCCATGATAACCAGTAGAAACAGAACTGATATGGAATCCATTTTCGTTGTTCGATGTGCTATGATCACTATGGTTCAAACATACTTTTACGATTAAATGCAAACTAATTAATCTTGTATTATGGAAAACACGATGTAGCTGCTGCTACTAATTACAGAGAGGTCGGTTTAATCTATGTATACTATAGCACATATACGTTCACCTTTGTTCTATTTAAACCCCTCTCCCCAGTCTCTCGAAAAACTTATCTTAACCTAGATCTATTCAACTGATATGAAAATCTCAAGACATATATGTACTAGACCGGAGATACAGTATCTGAAACGATTCGTTGAAAATAACAGTCTAATTATAAAAGTACTCTTTTTAAATAATAGTAAGAAAATTTCATTGAAAAATAGACTCCATGAAGCACTGAGTCTTAACATACATTCTTAAACAAACAATTGATTTACCCAGTATATGTTTGCATTCATAAGCTCTCATCTCTCATCCATGCATGCAGATAATGAAATATCACCATATGTGACGATACAACGGTGGGGAGGGGTGCGAATGGGGAGAGGCGGGGTAGAAGGGGTAAAGATGCGGGAGGAGGGGGTAGTGGCGGACAGGAGAGTAATTTCAGAGTTGTGCCTGACCGTGTATTATGGTTACTATGCTGTCTGTCACGTCTGGGGGTCCAATGTTTCTACTCCTGAACACTTTAACACTGCTTTCAGATCGTGTTTCACAAAATAAGTTCATTGTTCATGAATAAAAAGAACGCTTTTCTTTTTCATGGTTCAACAGCAAACAGCAGTGCATATGGATAAATTGCATATTCATGATATTATTGAGAGAGAAAAATATGAAAAGGTAAGCTTTCGAATTTAAAATCGAAGTGTATTATTGAGAAACGTGTTCTTGATAATCTTTACACATGCTTGATCTTAACACTTGAACAAGGAGGAGCAAACTGATTTCCAAGACCAGAAATCAGTTTGTTCCATCTTGAATAGTCGCATTTCAAATACTTTTTTTTGCGACAAAACAGAATTATATTCGAACGTAAAATAAAGACAACCACGCAATTGTAATAAACCTACAAATTCATCTGGATTGTTTTCTATGAAATAGACTTCGGCGCAGAATTAAGCAAAAGAAAAAAATTCTGATAAATTTTTACACTGATACTAACACATCCAATATTTATCTTACGTAGACGTCCCGTGCGACAAGAAAGAATTCCTATTCAGAATTCAAAACAAGAAAGACTATATTCTGAAAAACATGCAAATTGATACTCGCATATCAAATATTCATTTTACTGTAACGCTCAAGGCTAAGTTTAATAACTATTTTCTCCGTACCTTGAGTTTTATCTTTGTTTTAATCTTCGTCCTCGCTTTATAGTGTTGAATTTCATATTGTTATACTGTTATATTTGCTTAGCCTTGATGCTTGTGTAGATGAAACATAGAACAATATAGAGTGTGGATGTGTAGAGAAACAAGAGAGAATCTTGCTCACGCGTACACCCACATCCTCAAGTTGACATCTTGAATATTGGCCTGGTTTGCAACAGGCTAGAAAAGTCATTACCAGGCGATCAGGCCAAACCAGGCTACGAAAACATGGCCTGTTGGCAGCTCTGGCCCAGAGTGTAACAAATGTATACATGACACATTTATAAACAAAGAGAAGAGGTAGACGGGCACGGAAGCATGAACAAGGCAGGGAAAATGCGAAAGCGATAATCAACATCGAGAGAGGAAAGATCAGTGATAGCTCATATCGACTCGTCACAGAGATATCCTACGTATTCTATGTATGTGGGTTACCGCTAATAAAACATTTAGAAGACATCAGATTACTCGAAACAGTGTACAACAGTTGTACAAGAGATAGACTATTATCAGACTGTATGGTGGGCTCTCATAGAAGCCTTCAAATCTCAAATAGGTTGCACCAATGTATAGACCAATGGTAAAAGTACTAGATTTGGAAAAGTCGCCACTATGTTCAGTTTTGTCAGAGTTCTTCCCTACTTAATAGGCGAATGATCACGTAAATATTCCACTATCTATTAGCAAAGGTGATGGAATTATACTCAGATAATGATGTATATATACGCTACGAATTGACATAGTACCGTTTCGTTGCATTTCCTCTATGGAATTCATTGTTCGACTTACTGTGAAATTTCGTATACGTCACTGAATACTGAAAGAACATCTATGTTATTTTTTTCAAATAATTTAGCCTCAACAATCGAAATATAACATATCAGAAATCGTGGCATCGTGCTCGTCTGATTCCATGGACTCCAATGTCATAGTGGATTAGTGTCGAATTAGTTCCAATTTATTGAAAAATATTACGGCATTATTGAATGTTTTCTGCTGTTTTTACGAAATATAGTCAAAGGCAAATAAATCCTTCTTTCCGAAATTCTTTCACGAGTACACCGTATTTGTCGAAGCGACGCGACTGGCGAGTAACGGAAAAATGTATATATCTTGATCAATAAAATCAAAATAAAGAAGACGCTCAAAGATGTTTTTAAGACGACATGGTGTATAAATAAGAATCTGAGTACCATCACTCATGGTGCGAAGTTTTTTAACAAAATCAACATAAGGATGGCCATCGACGCAAGGTAGATGAACATCGGCTAACTTATTTAGCTCGTGCAGAATGTTAAGATAATCATTGTCAAAATTTAATGGTAAATCCGATGACGATGCTAAGGTGCTAGATATATTGGAGTTGTCATTGTCTAATGAAAAAATAATTTTTAAATTCATCGATGGTCTGTTAATATAATTAAGAAATTGTTAATGTTTTTAAGAGTAAGAAAGACGAGTATCGCTGGTGAATGAGAGATGTTCGCTCGAAAAGAAGTATCCGAAATATCGAAATGAGAAAATGTCGATTCATTTGCCGACTTTACGTTGTACTAATCTATTGTTTTAGCGTGGAGAGACTCACCTGTACTTATTCTCACCCAAGGTTGCTTTTTGTGACAACATATCCAGTATTGTTCTTCGAAGAGTGCGCATCCCTTTGATGGGACATGATCATTTCTAGAAGGCAAAAATGGCAATTAGTGACAGAAACATCGAAATATCTTTGTCCAACTTTTCTGCGTATGATGTGTGCTGTTTAGCGATTGATATTAAGAGCATTTCATCATTGCTCAATAAAACGAGACGATCATCCATGGTTTGAATCTGTGCTGAAAGATTCTCGATGAACAATTTTTCTAAACATTTCCCATTATTGACTTGATACATAAGTAGCATCGATTCTTCGCGATCTATTACAAATAAATATTCAGTATCTTCGGAAAAACACAATGCATCACAGCAATTCGGGACTTGAATAGTACCACGTAACATTTGTATGGTATCGTAGACAATCAATTTGTTCACAGAGTCGTCATAAAGTACGATACGATTATTCTTTGTTTGGAAATGACGTGCACGCCCAAGAAAACTTCTCGTATTACTATCATCTAGCTTCCAGAGAAAAATCTGCTGATCGTGACAGTGGAGAACAAGACCTGCGGATACCGCATGTATGTTATTGATCAGCATAGAACTATCAAGCAGTGTTGAGACGTACTGAATCATATATGTTTTGTTCGCATGGCATATTGCTAAGGTAGAATAATCGTCGGATAAAATGAATAATTTAGATTGTACCGGCATAACTGTAGTCAGTACGGAACGACACTCAAAACGGAGAGTACTGATCTTTTTTAATTTAAGTGATCTTTTATTTTCGATGGAGAATAGTTCACGCGTGGTTCCATTAACAATTAAGAACGATGACTTAATTGCATGTACCTTGACGACATCGTGTTGTACGTGCCTAGTTTCAAACTTCAGTTCTGAGAAAGTACTAATTTCATAGATTGATAGAGTGTCATTAGATTCTATAATTAGAAGATAAGACGAGACGATGCAATACTGCGTGACTACGTTGAATACACAAATATCCATTACTAACGATAAATGATTTAGAAATCTGTACAATTTCAAGTTTCTAAAATATTCAATATTTTGTTTCATTTAAACAATATGTTTACTATAATCATAAATCACTTTTTTGTTTCGTCGAGTGTTACAATGAAGTCACCATGAATTTGCAGGTCAATTATTGATTGTATCAGTTTCTTATCTTGTTTAAGAATGATTGATTGACCAGGCAAATAACTCATCATTGTAACGCTATACTTTCGGAATTCACCATTATCCAATGCACAATAAACAGTAATGCCGAAATACAAGTCTAAAATGTGAATTTCATTGTAGAAGAAATAATACGAAGATATTACTCACCAACGTGACATACGCACAGTGAGATCTCATGATCTACTTGTAAATACGCAAATAAACGATATCTATGCGAGCCTTCATCACACCGCCACTCAAAAATACTGATTTTTGATGTGTGACGATTGAGAAAGCACAGGAAGTTACCGAAAATTCTTGAAAAATCGTATAATGTAACTTCAGTCTCGCACAAGATACCATAGTCACCGGGAATACAAAAATGCTTACCACACGAATGAAGTACAACCGCTGTGCCAACATCAAACCATACCAGTGCTGCATCAGCTTTACCGGTGGACGATTCTTGATGACAAGCGACACGGTGGCAACGACTACTAAACGATGGTAAATCGTCAATCCTTTGAAATGAATCATTTTGAAAATCTTCGGCATTTTTTAAGTGATAAAGATAAGCGAACGATTGTCCTATGTCATAATGCACATCGATAGTATCATTGAGAAGAATGCTTTCGTTTTCAGACTTTTTCTTCAGTTTCTTAATAATATTGTACGATTCAGGTTTTATATGCAGATAGCAAATGACATCTGTTTCGAGTGTGACTTTGACGAGGGATTCAATCGTGGTGATTCTGACGCTATCACATTCGATTATAGGATTCTCAAATTCATAGCTTTTCAGAGGTTTTTTCTCTCTTACTTCGTAAAAATCGATTGATTTTCTGTGCTTTGAACATAGGAGTAATACAGACCTTGACACAAAACCCATGTGTAATATGTCCTTCATGTCCATCTGTACCATGCATACTTCACGAGATATAAAATCATAAACCAAAAAGGCTTGTGTAGAATAGATGCAGACAAATGAATGTACTGCTATCAGTGATCTGAATTCTTCATTGAAAGGCCAAGCGTATTCCTCAATGTTTCCATTCACAAAATACATGCGGATTTTACCCGAAACCAATATAAATAAACCCTCAGGATACATTTTTAAAGCATAGATAGCTTCAATCGAATATTTGTTGACGCATGGATTAGAAGTTCGCGTCTCTTTGTCTAACCAATAAAGCTTGCATTTATTCAAGCACTCCTGAAGGAAGTTGTAGGTATGTTCGGGCAATACAGTGACAAGCGGAGCCAGACGAGATGATATTTCAAAAGCAAAATTAGCGCGATGTTTGCTAAGAACAGTAGAGCAAGACTCGCATAGTCTGAGAAGAAATCGAAGTTCTCGATTGACCATCATATGACCAACACAGGCTCTAAGGATATCACCTATATTGTGGTCGGGACAGCTAAGCACACTTGATAAATAGTCACACTCCTGGAGGAAATAAGGCGTACACAATGGATACCTGATAAGCATGTACAGTTGATTGATTCTTCGCATATTCCAAATGACACCTGATTTCTTATCATGGGTTACATATGGTTGCTGTTTGCGAAGACATCGGTTGACTGCAAGAGAGCCCTTAATATTGTATTTCTTAATTAACTTCTGAGAGTTCATTTCGTATGGTAGAGTATTCAAATTCAAACCATTCTCAGTATGACCGGCATAGTAAGCACGCAGTATCCATTCGACTTCCACTTCATCTTTTTCGTAATAATGATATGCCTTATGATAGCGGAAACTGCGATGATAACTACAACAAACGAGAAAAGAAATATCCTAAATGGATTATTGAAAAAAGTTGTAATTAAAATGTAACATCTTCTTATTGTTGACAATGTTCATATATATATATATCGTTTGTCTCTATTAGTATTGTAGATGGTTTTCTCATCAGCTATGTCACGAACTTAAATGGTTATGTTCTCAACAATCAGTGTTTTATAATTACATTTTGAGTATTTAAAATCTTATTTAGAATATTCTAATGAGAAGTAAGTACGTGATAATTAGGATGATTTGTGAAATCAAATGAAAAGTCATATCCATATGAACTTAAAAACATGAAATCGAATCCATAAATTAAACCTGCTTTACTTACAAATAAAGAATGACCGTACCGTCTACCTCCATCTCCACCAAATATTTATGCATATCATTCCGGATGCGTATCCAAAGAATGTTTGGTAATCGAAAGATTTCTGGTGGTGGTAAGTAATGGACAAAAACAGACTTTAGAACTTTGTCATCAGCACTGAGCATATCCAATAGTTCTGTTTCACTCAAGCCTCCTGACAGTTGTACATAAGTGATTGCCCGTCTGAATATCACTTCGCCATGCTTTTTTGAAAGTTGATCATACAATTGATCGATGGCGTCTCTTGTATATCCTATTCTCCTTAAATTTGTCAATCTATCGTCGTCAAATGAGTGCCAGCCCAAACTAATATCATATAGAAGCGAGAGATACAACGGAGTTGGTTCATTCCATGTTGGCTCTAGTTTTGATAGTAACCATTTTCGTTGAATCTGTGTTAAACTTCGGTTGTCACGCTGCAACCACTTTTCAATGACTTGTTGAGCTAGGTTCTCATCAAGCTTTGTTACTTCAATAATCGTTGCGTTGCTACAAAGAGATTTCAGACCTTCAAGAATATTTCGCTTGTCCATATCAGGGTTTGGAATAGTGGATACAATGCACTTGACGTTGTTTGGATAATTCACAGGTAGCCACATTGAGCAGTCGTAATCTTCAACTCGCAATTGATCAATTGAATCGAAAAGAAGAATGAGCTTTTCCTTCGTCGGAATCTGTTCGAGAATCTTTTCTAAGTCTGCTTTTATATCCTGAAGAGTGTTTGATTCATGTATGATCGGCTTCTGAAATCCATAGATAGTACAGATTTGCTGTATGATAGAGACAAGTGGTCGACGTATGTCACTAGTGAAAGATGTAGTACCAAGAAAACGAATGACCACTGAAATCGATGTATTATTTTCAGTTCGAAACCAATTTGGAACCTAAAAATGCTGCAAACATAATACTGTTAACATTGTCAGTGTTTTACCTCGACAGGAATTTGAGCCATAATTGATGATTTACCTGTTCCAGAATCACCGTGTAAGATGCATGGTGCTCCTGATGTGTTTGATAAAACAAAGTCTTTGATCTATTGGAGATCGTATTGAAAGGAAACTCCAATAACAAACAAATCTCTACCTGTTGCATTATGTCTTCTCGCGGGCTATAGTTTTTATTAAACATTTTGCATCGAATAGCGTGTTCAAGAGCTTCAGTGTACAGTGCATCCTTCGATTGAGATCGTTTGATATGATAGTCGATTTGGTCCTTTATAACTTGATAGAATCTTGCTAGAAATTCGTTTAAATATTCTCTTTTGCTTGACTCATCTTTCCAATGCACCTGTCATCAAATTTCGATAATACTCATCAATTTAACATTGTGTATTTCTACTGACCTTATATGTGAATATGTTGTGTTCGGAGAGTTTACTTTTAATATATGTCTTAAGTTCAGCAAGAAACTTCTGTGCCTCTACATTGCTACCTTCAGTAGAGTTAAATTTTTCATCGGTGAACTTTGATTTCAGATCTGGTTCCACGCAAGCTATGTCTTCAATTTCCCGCAAGAAAACAACCATTCTCTGTTGACGGTGTTCGTTATTTTGAAGTGCTCGATATATTTCTTTTGCTGTTGCTAAACTCAAGAGACTTATGATACAAAGCAAAGTAGGAAAACAAAGAACTTACTAGATATGTGAAACTCATTTCGTTCGTTTTCACTAATTTTCTTATTTTCGAAACAACGCGCTGAAGCATAACGCAGGACTTCTTGTAACCTCTTTTCATCTTTTTTCCATTGTGTTTTTGCTTCAGGATTGACTGGCAACAGAACATAACTATACTCCATTGATTGTTCGTTCGAGAGGTATGTCTGATTTGTGTCCAGTCGATAGGCTGTGTTGAGAAGACTTTTGTCTTCTTCATCGAAAATGAAAGTTTGAAGCTCATTAAATAGATGTTCTCTGATGCGCACGGGTAACATCCGACCTCCATATCGATGACTTAACAAAATCTTGGAAAACAAATGCACGCGTTCGATTGATTATAGGCAAATGAAATGTTCTCACAACGCAGTTCGTAGCTAGAGACAGCTGGCAACATCGATCTAATTCTTGTAAACACATGTCTTCAGTTGAATGATCATTTATAGATTGATCTGGGATACCCCAACGCATGTCAGAATACTAAATTTAAAAAAATTAATCAGTAGTAATATGCATATTATTGACATAACAAACGTGAAACTGGACGTTATAAGTTTCAAGACAATATTTTTGTAATTTTGGATATACAATCCTGATGAGTGAATCGCGCTCGTCGATCGTATCTTTGTATATTCAAATATTTGTTGACTAAATCTTCATGTAGGACAGCATACCTGTAAATGTTGAGCTAATAAAAACTCGTACTGATGTTGGTCTTTGCTCGGGCACATCGCGCAGATCACCACGATACAATGAGATGGATTTGTCAATGAAATTACGTGAAACATCGAATGACATTTGATATATCTTGAACGTCTAAAGGTGTTATGATAATTATCAAAGAGGCTAAGCATAGACTTTAATCATTTATTTTTCACTCATACAGAACTTGAATATCTACCAACAGTAATTTTTGATGTTCAATCATCACTCTTACCCTTATGTCATGTACGTTTTACTCTTTTACAGTTGAAAGGCAATATCTTCATTAAAATATATCTTGTATTATGTTCCATAATAAGTATCGACGCAATAGTTTAGCATGTTGCCGAGAAAAAAAACGACCATAAACATTTCCACCCGATCGCAAATGAGAAATATAGATTCCGTCTCTTCCGAATATGGTAAAAGTATAGGATAGCTATGAAAACATGCAGCAGTACTCGAGAAAGTCGAGGATATGTCTGTTTTTTAGATTGGTCTTAAGAAAAAGTAAAACTCATCTGGGTTATCTCTGTTTTGTATCCCTGACCAAAGAACCAGGTTCACAAGGCTTTCTGTCTCAATTATTTAGACTAAGCGATCCTCTCAAAGACTAGAACAGGATATTTCATAGGAAATCTCATTTATACATAAGAACGCAAGTCTGCGTATGATACTTCTGTGTGCGAGCCAGATCAATTGTCAGCATTGCTCAATAACTATCCGATTAAAACTTGTTCCTCTGTGACCTCCCATAGGAGAAAAAAGCTAAAAAGGTTACTTCAAGGATTGTGTTAGACAGAGTCTGAAGAGAATATGGACCAACTTAGCTTTCCATGTTGAATTCGAATGCAGTATTTAATCTCTTATCTCTTGTTCTAAACATTTCGATCATTGTACAGGGGTTAGAGTTCCATATGCAGTTCACTCTTACGAACATAGACAGAAAAGTCATAGAGAAAAATACATACTGATACGACTCATCAAGATCAAAATAGAATAACAATAGAAAAAAACAATAGCAACCAACTGAAGTCAAAGTATGCGTTTCTTCAGTAAACAGTCAAAGCCATGCAGATTATGTCTACGAGCGATACTCCTTCTCGCTCTCTTTCACGATTTTATCGTACTTTTTAGGTTATCGATTACCTTGTTATCACCTGAGGCAAGGCTTACGTTTTAATATAATCTTTACAACGTATTGAAATAAGAATTTCATGCGCAGTATTTTTGTTTCACCATTAAACTTCATATAAATATAATATAACACAGAGATAAAAAGAAAAGTAAGATTAAGCTTTCGGTATGTATAAAACCATTATGCTATAAATAAGTAAACCTTGAGATAGTATGCCGTGCTTTCGGTATTTCTGAATGTGAAATAAATAGAAGTCGCCTGCTTAAAACTGTGATGTGTCGTACGGCATGCCGCAAGATAAGGTCTAGGTAAAACTTCGATTCGTAAGATAAATGATCAGTTCTAAAGGAAAAATGCTACCGAGATAAAAGAATTCTCTTATCTTATGAAAGACAGACGCAGCAGAAAAGACTTAAAAGCAACACATATCATTACAAACTCTCATAGGAAAGATTATTTAATCTATAGGAAAAATGAGAGAGAGAGAAATTGAATAATGCCAGCATCTAGCAGAAAAATGGTTTCATAGGAAAAAATAAAACACATAATTTCTACGTATTTTATGGGTTTATCGGGGGAAACATGATATATCCGTAGAAAACATGGTTTGATCGACACGAATAGATGAGAGAGAGAAATGGATTTTTATTGTATGTTACGAGAAAAGTGTTAAAACTATGGAAAGTTTCATCGGTGATGGATTTCGTATTTTGTAGATAAAAGGGGTAAATTGCCGATTTTTTTGCTCACGAAATGATGGTTATGCGCAAAAAAAAAGGTAGCTTTTGCGGTTGTTTTGATTCTGACGTGCTTTGTGTATTGAAATGCAGTGAATGCTATCGTTATAGATATGCTGAATTGTAGAGGAAGGATTATAAATCCCGGGTTTTTTATTCGTAATTCTCATGTTTTCGCTGTGGTAGAAGTAGAATGAATATTGTTGTTGGCTCACTGATGATTCTATCTATCGTCTACAGCTACAGAATCAATTATTAGCTGAAAAATTGATATTGTGAACGTGGCTGCTCAATTAGTTTCTATTTTCGTGTAGAAGCTACGAAGAAATTTCAAGTTAATATGACTGAGTAGTAGAACTATGGCAGAATGCACGACAGAAGGAAAGACATAATGAATAAAAGAGTATTTTATCGGCGAGAAACGTTCACTGAAAAAGGAATCTATTGTGTTGTATGTTTGAATTACTTTCGTTATATGTATGAATTAGCTGGTAACGAATATATGTTACCAATCAACGTGCCTACTTGAAATGTTTTGAAACGCCTATGTGCAGAAATAAATAATTCTGAAGAGAAGAGATATGTGCAGCAGAACACACAAATCCAGTGAGGAAAGAAAGTCTCCTTGTTGATCAGATGCGTGCATTTAACTGTTCCTTCGACTTTAATTCTACCCCTATGTGTTTTTAATAAATTTTAATGAAAGATCAGGTAGGAAATGAAACTTTTTTTGTCAGGACACCATTCTGCTGAATGAATAATTCATGTAATCGATGTTCATTCATTACATGTTATCAATAGATATGTTTTTCATAGCAATGAATGATCCATTGATATTTATCTAATGTCGATACAGAAAAAATATGATATCTGTCAATTAACGTCTTATTTATTTTAATCTTATAATGTAACGCTGTGTAACTAATTATATTCTTCATAAAAGCTAAAAAATAGATTTACTAATATAGCTGCGAGAAAAAGAAAGCGACAAATCGCGTTTGCTAACATCCATACATTTTCAACGTGTAGTACTTATGTATTTCGATGTTTTTCGTTCATTTCTATCGCACACTATCAATATTCATTCAATTGGAAGACGATTGATCTTACCTGTAAAAGTACCTGCTTTTATCGTATGCATCTATCTCTTGTTGGATATTTGTTGATCTGTTAGCGAATAATCAACTAAGATACGTAAGGAGAACCTTTTCCTCCCTACACTGAAAAAAAGAAGTACTCTACGAAATTTAAAAGAGTTTCGAGATTTGCAACGAATTCGAAACCATTTTGCTATGTCATACGGAACCTTCGAAGATCTTCAAGGGTTTTTTAAAGTTCTATGAAACCTTTGACAGAGCTTCCAATATCTTTAAAGGCTTCGTGAGACTTTACAAAATCCTTGAAGAACTTCGGAGGTTCCGTATGACATCACAAAATGGTTTCGAATTCGTTGCAAATGTCGGAACTCTTTTAAGTTTCGTGGAGTACTGTTTTTTTTCGGTGTAGCAACAGTTATGTCCTTCTTCAATATTTTTCATCGTCATATTATCACTATTCTCTTTTACTCTTATCTTAAATAACCACGTGAGAGAATATCATACATGAAGTATTTTCTTTCTGCGCAAGTGTGGTGTGGGTATGGGAGTGCGGGTGTGTACAGAAACATGGGAGAATCTTACTTACACCCACACACCCACACCCACCCGAGGTAGTGATTCATTATTGAACTCCTGCACGAATTCAGTTTTCGATAAAAATAATGTTTCCTTAATATCAACCAGAAACTTTGTCTACATGAAGGTCTCAATGAGATAATACCATATATAAATTTTCATCGATTTCGAGTATCATATTATCAAGATATGCATTTCTCAAAATATATACACTTTTCTTCAAGTATTGTGTAAAATACAGATATTAATCTGCACCTATTCGTTTATTAATAAACAATTTGAATATAATTATAAAATACAAATCCCTTAAAACAGTTTCATATATCCTTTTGATATTCATATACTCTTACGGTCACAAACCCTTTGACTCATATACTATCTAAACTCTGAAAAAAAATAAGGTGTCATATGGAGTAATTTATGGTTCTAGCCAAGATACTGAATCTTTTAAGGTTTCACTCGCTCATTAATAAGCCATCGAGGATTCTAGCTAGTTTAAAGAACCATTTCAGATCCTCAATAGTTCCGGATGTTTGAAACAGTTCCGTCGTGCACCATTTTTTTAATGCTGAACCATTTTTCCAAAGATGACTCTGGCTTGAAGCAAGATAATGCATTTTCGGAACGTGATTTAAGTAATATAAATCTTGAATAGGTTATCGAGGTCGAGGATTCCGAAAAGTTTATCATTTTTTCGATCCGAACTCCAAATGGTCAGCTATTAGGTCCATTAAAAATTCCGTGACTGTAAAATTAGATATTTTATTTGATCTCCAATCACAATTCTGATCGAAGTTTGAAGTAAGTTATCGAGATCCAGGAATCCGAATCCGGCATCATCGATACGGAGTCTGAGGACCCGAGTCGGATTGATGGATATGCGTAGATGCGTCTTAATAATCAATTCTATGGTAAGTTATAACGTATAAAATGAGCTTATTCTTTTCAGAGCTGAGCACAGAACAAGTTTTCCTGTCCTGACCTGCCCTGTCCTGACCTGCCCTGTCCTGACCTGCCCTGTCCTGACCTGCCCTGACCTGAACTGCCCAGACCACC